TACACGGAACGGAAGGGGGCAAGTAAGCAGATTTTACAGTCGAGACTTCAGGTTGTCCCTGGATTTGAAAAAAAGAGGGAGATTGGGGCTGGAGTCACCAAAAAAAGATTTCCGAGAAAAGGTATGGTTTCAGGGCTAGGACTTCAGAAAGCCCAGAAGAGATGGAAGATAGAACCTGCTGTGGTAAGATAGGGAGGAAATCAGCATGATTAGGTCAGAGAGATTTGCTCTTTGACAAGGGCCTGGATGGAAAAAATGCCTGGGTCAGTTAAGCATCCCACTCTTGATTTTGGCTCAGGTTGTGATCTTGGGGCCCTGAGATTGAGCCCTGTGTCAGGCTCTGCACCCGGCTTGATTCTCTTTCTCCCTCTCCCTCTGCCCCTCCCCACCTGCTCCCACTCTCTCTCAAAAAAAAATAAATAAAATTAAAAATAAATAAATAAATAATCAAGGCTAAATTTTATTTGGCATCAACTATGTACAAGGCAATGGGTGCCACAGATTCTCAAGCCTGACTACCCATTAGAATCACCTGTGGGAATGTAAAAATGCTGCTGCCCAGGCCCCATTATCAGAAATTCGAATGTAATTGGTCTGCGAAGGGAGGTGCCAGGGAAAATCCTCCAGATGATTCTAAAATGAAACCAAGTTAATGAACTACTGTGCTATGCAATTTACAAGCGTCCTTTGATTTAATTTTAACCCTTCTAGTAACCCCCTAAGAGAGGTATTTTTGTCCTGGTTTTCTAGAAGGGGAAACAAAGGCTCAGAGAGACTTGGTGATTTGCCTCGAGGGGCTGCTAAGACAATGAGGGAAATCTTGATTAGTGGTGGGTGGTTTGTGGAGAACACTCCAGATGGAGAGAAAAGCAATTGGAGTAGTGACATTGCATTCCTCTAGGGTATTAAAGAAATGTTAATAGAAGCAAATAGGACCCACAAAAAACAAATGAATACAAAGGTAACAAAATGTGACTCATCTGGGGAGTCTTACTAAAATGGAGAGTCTGGAATGGAGATTCTGCCTTTCTGATGATGCTGGTGATGCTGGTCCCCAGTGCACATTCTGATGTTTTTTTAAGATTTATTTTAGAGAGAGAGAGTGCATGTATAAGTGGGGAAGGGGCAGAGGGAGAGAATCTTCAAGAAGACTCCCCACTAACCACAGTGCCGCATGCAGGATTCAATCTCACGACCCTGAGATCAAGACTTGAGCCGAAACCGAGAGTCTGATGGTCAACCGATTAAGCCACCCAGGTGCCCCCACATTCTGAGTTTTAATTGTAAGTTTTAGATAGCATGGTCAATGCAGACCTCTGTGGCTCAGTTTCTTTTTCTGTAATTGGGGTCAATAATTGATCCTACTGATGTAGATGTTGGGGTTCAGGGCAATCAATAAAGAATTCTTGCGACATCTCTGGTTCAAAAAGGTGGTTTTATTAAAGCACGAGGACAAGACCCATGGGCAGAAAGAGCTGCACTAGGGTTGTGACAGGTGTCTGATTATATACTTTCAAGTTGGGAGGGGGTTAGGGACAGCACAAGCCTACAAGGAAATCCAGAAACAAGGTTTCCAGGACCCTGAGGGGGGCTAGCTATTGTTAGGAAAAGGTCATTTATTACTGATTAATAAAAACTCAATTATGAGACTCCAAATGTTTATCAGTGGGCCATATATCTTGGCGGGGGAGATAGAGATAAAGGAAGTTTCTAAAGGAATTTTTGTATGTATAAAGTAGACTCACAGGATCCTGGGGGGTCGGGGTAATGTTAAGCTAAGATGGCCTTTTGCCTGTAGCTGTGTTGACATTGAGGCAACTGAGTTCCTAGAGGAAGGTCACTCCGCCTGTTTCAAGGACTTGTGGATGGGCTGTAAGCAGTAGGGAAATTTAATGTTTTCTTTTGCCTTTGTTTCCCACATCACTACTACATGAAAGTTGTTTATGCATTAAAGCACAGTATCTGGGATGTAGTAATCACTCTACAAACTTTCGTGATAACTCTGTAATTTGCTTTAACTTTTAAAAGACTTCTCTTCAGAGCAACATGGCATCCTTCTGGGGGTTAAGGAAATGCTGATAGAAGCAAACAGGACATAGGAAAGTTAGGGTAAGCGATATGCACCCTCCCTTTGCTGACAGTATTTCCATCTATGGAAATAACAAGTATGAGTCTTGTGAAATTTGGTGGTCTCAGTATACAAGTGGGGAGCTGAACTTTTTTGAATGTATTTGGGTTTATTAAACCCCATAGTAATTTTAGTACTACTTTTCTGTAAAAATGAATCTCAATATATGAAATAAAGTAGGAGTCTTACTTCTATCTTTTTATTTTAGACATATAGTGAAATTCATGGGAATACAAATATAGGAATTACATTAAATTAGGGATATTTTATATTAAAAGTCATATAGTGAAATTCATGGGAATACAAATATAGGAATTACATTAAATTAGGGATATTTTATATTAAAAATTTCTATGCTAGAAAATGTTCTTAGGTCATAAACAGCAAGCTAGGATTATAGAGATTTTATAAGTTGATTTTAGTAACTAAGATACAGTTCCTTTTCAACAGATGCTCATTTTCAAAAATCTGTTTTTTTTTTTTTAAATGTATGTAAAGCTGCGAAGCCCCTCCATGCTTTGCCCTACCTTTAGAAAAATTCTCTAGAGAACTTCATGTCAAGAAATTTTATGATAAAGGAGGAAACAATTCTACATTTTACTGTTTGGGAGTTTGGTTTTTCTTTTCTATATAGTATGGTTATCATACTGGAAGAATCTTGTGTAGAACTATAATCTGGTTACAGATCCTTGTTATTAGCATCAACGATAATTACACCATATATTTTTGACAGTTTTTACAATCTATACAGGGCTTTCACATACATTATTTTCATTTAATATGTTCCACAACTCTGAGTGGGAGGGCAAACAGTTACAACTGTTTATGAAGGAAGACAGGTGAGGTTTGCCCCAATCACATGGCTGATAAATAAGGGAACAAAAATTAGAATCCAAGGCTTCTGATTTTTAACCCAGTGCTCTGTACATGGCCCATCAAGTATTGCACTGAGACTCAGACAATGAATGTAATAATCTTTAATAATGATTTTGCTAAATATAGTCAATAAAAATGAAAAGGTGTAGGACAATGAACCTGGAGGAAAATCCAGAGAAGAGAAGAAAGCCTGTTCTAATTGTGTTGCCTTTCTTTTATATATACCGACATCTATGTATATTTCAATATATGTGCACCTATATTTATAACTTTACTGAGATATAATGGACATATAACATTATTTAAGTTTAAGATGTACAACATGTTGACTTGGTACACTTCTATATTTCAAACTGATGACCACCATAGCATTAACTAACACCTTCATCATGTCACATAATTACTGTTTCTTTTTGTGTGTGTGATGAGAGCATGTAAGATTTACTCTCTTAGCAACTTTCAAGTATATTATACAGTATTATTAACTGTAATGACCATGCTGTATATGAGAACCCCAGAATTTATTCATCTTCTGACTGAAGTTTGTACCCTTTGACCAACATCTCCCCATTACTCTCACCTCCCTTTCTCTGGTAACCATCCTTCTCTCTGTTTCTATGAGTTTGGCTTTTTGTTTAGATTTCATATATAAGTGATATCTTACAGTATTTATCTTTCCACCCAATCTGCCTGCCTCACTGCTTGCAACCATAAGTCAACCTATTATCCATCTGAGACCAATCCCTTAAACACACCCTAATATTTGCCTGACTGACACACCTCTTTCTTGAGTCCTACTGATATTTTGTTCCACTGAGTGGCCTATAATTCATGTTCTAGCCCTTTGACTCAATTATAAAAGTCACATCACCAAGAATAAAAGGTACATGGCAAGTGAGGAGCTTCATTGTGATGACTGTGGGGTCAGGGTCAGTGAGAAAAACTGAGGAACAGGAGAGATGGTGAGCTGGTTTGGCTGCATACCTTTCAATTTTTAGGTCCTTCAAGTTGTTTACTTTCAAAATGACCCTGGCCTTTGTTAATGATATTTCATAGAGCCTCTTTCCAACTCATATGGCTACCAGCCATGAGAAATCAGGGACTTCATTTTGAGAACACATTATTTTGGAGGATGAAGATGGTGGAAACATCCAGGGTTTGGCATGTAAGAAAAATGAAGTTGATTTTTTAAACAAACATATCTGCTAATTGGAATGTAACCTTTCTCTGAATCAGTAGTCTTGAAGTTCCTTCTACCTTATTACTTATTCTATCAAAGAACATGGCTCTCACCATAATAGTAACCAATTCCCACGTCTTTCCCAGATCAATGTCTATGTTTTGGCAGGTCTTCTCTCATGTGGGCTTAAAGAACCACATGTGTTTGTAGGCATGCTATCAAGTAGTTTAAAGGACATAAAACTTGTGGTAATATTTTTGGGAGTAAATTTTATTGTTATAGCTTTAAAACACAACCAAATAAAAACAAGAATTCCATTAGTAGTTGAATATTGTAATAACAGAGTTGAGGATAAATTTTACTGTTATAGGAACTATAAAACAGCAATAATAAAAAACACTATTATTGTGAATAAATTGTTTGAGATGACTAACTAGAAAGCTATAAAACACAACAATAAGGAATAATCTAATCACCAGGAAAGATGTGATAGTAATTCATCCTTGTTAGTGAGGAGTCCATGGTTCCAGTTCATTGGCCCTGGGTGCTCTAGGTTACTGCTTTCATTCTGTAAGTTTGCAGAAAGATAATCTTTGGCCAGTGAATTGGCAGGAAACCACATATTGCAGTGCAATTGGACATGGGGATTGAGGAAAATCCAATTATCAGTGACTGTTAGGAAAACCCTGTGTAGCAATGCCAAATGTCCTCGCAACATACTTTAAGAATTATTTGCAGGTTTCTACTAACAATTTGTATGTACCATTTGCACATTTTCATGTATTTTTAATTTTTATTTATATCCTTTTGCTTCAGAATAACAGCATGGAATTATATATCTGTTGGAGGGGGAAGCCTATCTATCTCGAGTTCCCCAGAGTGGTCCCCAGGACGTTCCTCAGGCCCCTGGCCCTGGCGGTGCTCTCCAGCGCTGCGGTCTATGTGCTGTCCCTGCTAGAAGCATCCAAGTTTTATTCTCAGCAAGCAGTCAGGGCTGTCCTTGAACTCAGCATCATCTTCAGACTCTGGACTTTACAAAAAGAAGTGAGGCGGCAGTTTGGGGCCACGGTGGCCACCATGTTCTGCTGGGTGACAGCCACACAGTTCCACCTGATGTTCTACTGCATGCGGACGCTCCCCAACGTGCTGGCCTTGCCCGTGGTGCTGCTGGCCTTCACGGCCTGGCTGCAGCTGCAGCCTTCGCCATCCTCGTGCTCAGGGCCGAGCTGAGCCTGTTCCTGGGCCTGGTGCTGCCGACACCGCTCTGCACCCGGAGGCTCTCCGTGGCAAAGGCCCTGCGCTGCGCCGTGCCGGCCGGGGCCCTCTGCTTAGGACCGACAGTCGCCGTGGACTCCTATTTTTGGCGATGTCTTGTGTGGCCGGAGGGAAAGGTGCTTTGGTACGACACCATCCTGAACAGGAGTTCCAACTGGGGAACCTCCCCGCTGCTGTGGTATTTCTACTCGGCCCTGCCCCGCGGCCTGGGCTGCAGGCTGCTCTTCATGCCCCTGGGCGCCGTGGACAGGAGGGCCCTGGTGCTGCTGTCGCCCTCGCTGGGCTTCGTGGCCCTGTACTCACTGCTCCCGCACAAGGAGCTGCGGTTCGTCATCTACACCTTCCCCGCGCTCAACATCGTGGCCGCCAGGGGCTGCGCCTGCCTGCTGAACAATTATAAGAAGTCTTGGCTGTATAAAGTGGGGTCCCTCCTCGCGATAGGACACCTCGTGGTGAATGCCACACACTCGACCACAGCCCTGGACGTGTCCCACTTCAACTATCCTGGCGGTGTGGCCATGAGGAAACTGCATGAGTTGGTGTCCCCCAGGACAGATGTCGTTCTGCACATCGACGTCGCTGCCGCACAGACAGGCGTGTCTCGGTTTTTGGAGGTCCACGGTGCCTGGAGGTACGAGCAGAGGGAGGATGTGCGGCCCGTGTAGGGGCATATGCGGGCTTACAAGCACCTCCTCGTGGAGGCCGCCCCTGCGCACCTGGCCCTCTACAGGGACACACACCGGGTCCTGGCCGGCATCGCAGGCACCACCGGGGTGAGTCTGAACCTGAACGCACTGCCTCCCCTTAACGTCAACCTGAAGACAAAGCTGGTGCTTCTGGAGAGACTCCGTGGGCCTTCCTGAAAAGGGGCCAATGTCCTTCCGAGGACATCGGAGCTCCGTCAGCATCCCGGCAGATGAGACAGTACGAGGAACAACGGAACCACGGACGTGCCCTGGACGCAGGCCTGAGGGAAGAGGCCCAGCTCTTCCACGGCCACCCCGGACCACGCACGGTTAGAACAGCAGGGACGGCAGGCCTTGCCCCATGCCTCGGCTGCCGGCCCTGGGCCTCTTGGAGCCCCCGAGGAAGCGCCCCCTTCGGGGAAGAGCATGTGAGTCTTTGTGAAGGTGGACAGTGGGAGCCTCGGCGCCTGCTGACCGCGACCCCCACCCCCGCCCGAGCTGCAGGACGAGTCCTTTGTGGGCACAGGCATGCCGTTTCCATCTCAGAGGAAACTCTGGGCAAGTCACAGAGGATCAAGAATAAAAATTTAAATGTTTCCTTAAAAAAAAAAAAAATCTTGCTTTTTATTTGGATAACCATGCATCTTTCTACCCTGAGTCCATCTTGGTCCAATTCCAAATAGTAGGAGAATGGAAAAAACAAACAAAAAAACCCACCTTCAACTCCTTGGTTCCATTCTCCCTCTGTGGAGCTCACAGCCCCATTAAAACCTTTGCTTCAGAGTTAGGATGACTGAAGTGACTGTTCTGACCCTCACATAGGTGAGGGGAAGAGTGTTGTGGTGTTGCATTTTACCTCTCATCCTGAACATCAACAAAATTCAAATTCAAGATTTCTGAATCAACAATATCCCAAAGGGACGATGGAAGATCCTAACGATGAAGTTGCTATTATGGTGCGAGCCATGTTCTATGCCAATGGAGTTTTCTATACTCACTGCCTCCACTTTCTCACTTGGCTTTCCTTCTTTAATCAACTCCAGTCAGGCTTTTGTCTCTACCACATGTTGACTGAAATTGCTCTTTTCAAGGTCTCCAGGAACCTCTATCCTGCTATATAAGATTGCTAGTTCTCAGTCCTCATCTGACTCCATTTCTGAACAACATTTGGCCCAGCTGGTAACTCCCACTTTCTTAAAATGCTTTTCTCACTTGGCTTCTAGGACACAACAGTCTCGCAGTTTTCCACCTACTTCACTGGCTGTTCTTTCTCAATTTCCGTTGCTGGATTCCTCTCTTCTACCAAGACCTCTAAATGTTAGCCCAGCCCAAGGCTCAGTCTTTGTTCTTGCCTTCTCTATCTATGTTCACACCCTACACGAGCTCCTCATGTGGCTTTAAACACTATCTCTTATAAGCTGGAGTCACAAATTTGTGCACCTCACTCCAGCTTCCGTCAGCTCCAGCCTGCCATAGTTGCTAACCACTTGGAAATCCCCTGGATAGCTAATAAGCATCTCAAACTTATCAGAGTCAAATACAATTCTTGAGTTTTCCTGTCCTCAAATCTTGTCCTCCCTCAATTTTCCTCATCTCATAAAAAGTCACCACTATTCACCCCATTTCGTGGCCTCAAAGTCTAGGAATTGTTCTTGAGTTTCCTAATTCCTTCACACTTCACAGTTATTCCATAAGCAAATTTGCTTCTAAAATAAATTCCCCGTGTGGCCATGCTGGACCGTATCACTATGACTGACTACCCTGAGGCCCCATCATCGCTCCCTTAGAATTCTGGTTTTTCTGTTTCTATTCTGTCTGTTGCAGCAGCCAGACAAATTATTTAAGATATAAAACCAAAACCTTTTCAGGGATTTCTTAGAATAATATTCAAAGTCCATACTATGGCCCATGGTCTCTACAAGGTCTGCCCCCTTGCCTATCTCCTTGACCTCGTCTTCCATCACTATTTCAATCCCACTTCACTCAAACACTGGCTTTCTTCCATTTCCTCAATGGGACCAAGTTCATTTCTTCCCTGGGACCCCTATATATGCTCCTCCCTTTACCTGGCACGCTTTTCCTACAACCTTTTTCATGAGCCATATCATTTAGAACTTAACTCAAAAATCATCTTAAATAAATCAGGACAGGCCTCTCCATCTCAATATAGTCTTGGCCCATGATCACCCCCATCTCCTTAATTTGATTTCCTTTACTTGAAATTGTGGGTTTTGGTTTTTTTTTTGTACACTTGTTTATTGTTCTCTCAACTCTATTTTGAGTTCCATAAAGCAGAGACATGGTCTGCCTCATTCATCTTGGTATGTTTTCATCTTTGTACTAATCCCTGGCATATAGTGGGTACTTGTTACATTTTTGTAGAATGAATGAGTGAGTGAGTGAATGAATGAACAGAACAAAGGATTTAGACTGGGCCCCCAAATGCCAAGGACACTGTTTAAATCTACTTTGCAGCACTAAAGCTTGCCTTGCTCAATTAGACTTTTAGCAATGATCTTAACTTGAGCTTTTACTTTTTAGTGGTCATGTTTGAGATTCAGGCATATCTAGGTTTGTCTGAAAACATGGTGGGTTATCTGACATAGTCCTTTATGTGAGAGGGCCTTGTGAGAATATCCACTTGAGAAAGGGTTTAAAATGTTTTCACTGCTCAGATTTGGAGAGACCTGGATTTGTTTAAGAAGCTGGTGGTGTGATCTCTCAGAACAAGAGAAGGTATTTGATCTAAAATACAGCTTTAAGAGGGGAGTGGAAATCCTAATAATAACCGTGCCTACCATACCCAGGGCAGAAGACACACAACCCATTATGCCCAGAAAACTGTGTGGAAGGAACAGCAGGAATAATTAGCTCTTAAGTAAGTACAGGTGATGGGGATTCCTAGAAATGAGTACTTCACATTGGGAAGAAACTTCTTTCTGGATCTCTTGAGGCCAAGAGCTTGTATAAATTTGGTTTTCAAGGAGAAATGAAAAATCAAATGGTAGTGTTTTCTACTATATAAGAAAAAAGCTATTTGAGGACATGACAGAGTTAATAAAACACCTGCTCACTTACAATTCTGCTGAGACATCCATTAACTGACTTATCTTGATTGTAAGAGCCTCCGCCTTTATGCATTCTCAGAGATGCTTGATTCATTGACCTACAGGAAAAGCCTAGGATTTTCTAGTTCTCTCTGCAGAAGAATGAAGCCTCTGCTTGGGACCCTTTACCTCTTGGGGATCCTGGTTCCTGAGGGGCTGGGATATGATGGGTGAGTGTGAAGTTGGAAGACTGGCTGACTATCTTGACTTAGATTGTCTAAATGGAAAGCTTTTTTCAAGATTAGTGTAGCTGGATTTTCCCCTCTTCCTACCCATAAACACCACCATGAGATGAGAAAAATAAAGTTTTATCATTCAACATAAATGAATAAATATCTTCATTTTCCAGCACAAAATATGATAAATGCCAATAGATATGTCTTGTTTGTGATTGAAAAAAGGAAATTATAATGAAAATTCTATATTCTTCATTTACAGTTTCACAATTGGTAAATCAGATTATTCTAATTTTTGAAAAAAATGTTTAAAGTCTTTAAAATTTCACCAAGATATAGTTACTCTTAGTATTTTTGGATAGATAGGTAGATAATTATGTATTCAGTACTGTTGCCAGAAATTTTCAATTAAATTGTATTATAGAAATTTTCCTATGACATTCATAATACATTTAAAACAAAACCAAAAATAATATTCCATCATTGCTACCCTATGGGGCATATGGTTGATTTCTATGTTGTCATTTTTACAAATGATGCCATGGTGAGCATTCAGCCACATGACATTTTTTTGCAAATCTTTGATTATTTTCTTAATGTAAGTTAGAAGAAGTGGAATTCCTGGGTAGAAGCTGAGAAAAATGTGAGAATCTTGCTTTGCATTGCCAAATTGCCCTCTAGAAAAATGGCATCAGTTTACATGTGAAAATACCCAGTTGACTTACTTTGCATTTTGTTGATTTCTAATAAATTTAAGTGTTTTGTCTTGATTATTACTCATTTTAATAGTTTATAAGTTGTCCACTCTTATTATTTGCTTATGTTTGTGTTCTTTCTTATTCATAATGAATTATAACTTCTTTAAATATATATTAAATTCTGTGTGTGTGTGGTATAATTTTCATATAAAGTGTATGTTTTCCTTTGTTCACACATGGTTCATCCTGCTCATTTGGCATATCTCATCAAGCATGTGTGGTTATAGATAGTATTTTTTCTTTTGCTTCATGGTTAAAAGAATCTTGCAACAAACTCACTCTCCCAGAACAGGGAAATTCACTCTGATTTTTGCCCTGGATGAATGGTGCAATCTCAGCTTATCTTTTAGCTTCATAGACAGTCTGATTTCAGCTATATAAAGAGAGCCCACAATCTCCACGGCACCAAAACCTGTCTGGACATTGCCATCTCATGTTTTCCATCAGTTTACTTAGTTTCATATAGATACTGCGTTGATCTTTCTGATATTCTTCATTCATAAATTAGAGACAAAGACATATATCACAGAGCTTTGATTGGGAAAAAGAATCACCTTGCTTAAAAATATCAGGAGCCTTAAAACTCACACATTGTTTGAATGATACTTACACATTGATCCCTGCCTCTGGAAACTTATTTTGAGAAAATTAAGTATGGAAAGAATTTTATGCAATGAGATGTAGCTTTATTTATAACATAAATATTATATAAAATATTATAATATTTGGAAATAACCTAAATGTCCCACATTAAGTTATATAAATGTTGATATGTGATATATGACAATAGAGTATTATTTATCCATTAGAATAATGATTACAAAAAAATTCTAATAGCATGAGAAAAGGCATGTTTTATGCTAAAAGCAAGATGCAGGATAGGAAATGTAATAAAATACTTAGAAAAATAAAAGAAAAAATATGTACCAAAATGGTCATTGTTATCTTTGGTTGGTGATTCCCCCCCTCCTTCAATTATTCATTTTGTAAATATTCTTTAGTGAAGATTTGAAAAAAATATTTTTCAAACCCAGGTTAAATTATGGAAATGATGTGGCTCAGGCAGTAGGACTTAGGCTGGCTTCCATTGGATAACTCAAGTGCAGCTTCTGACTGCACTTGAGGAAAACATTTTAAATCTTCTAGTCCTGGTCCTTAGTGGCTGTTTGCATCTTCATTATTATTTACTAATAGAAAATAATGTTCACTTTTGTATGGCTCTTACCAATGCAAAACGTAGGTTACCTGCCATTTCTTATACTCTATTCATTACATAAGATGTAATAATAGTTTAGAAAATCTATGATTAACAAAGATTATAAGCTTTGTAACCTTCCTTTTGAGTAGTTAGGGAGGTGGACTCATATATACTGCACACTCCCAATAAAAGTGTAAATCTGTAGAATCATTTGGGATTTAGCAGTATGAATCAAATGCCTTGAAAATACTCATCCTCCTTGACCTACTAATTCTTCTTCCTGGAATGTAGCTCAAGGAAATAATCAGAAATGAGCACAAAGATTTAGGCAAAAAGTCATTAACTCCAGAATTATTTACAATAGCAAAAAACCAAAAGGGGAAATAGATTTAATATCCAGCATAGATGACAATATTTAAATAAACGATGTTATGTAATATACACCTACTGTCAGATATTATGCAGTCATTAAAAATAATGTTTATAAAAAGTTTTCATTGGTTTGAGAAAATGCTTCTGGTAGAATATTATGCAATACAAAGGAGTGAATACAAAATTATATATAGATATAACCTGCACTGTGTTTAAAAAAAATATATGCACAGATAAAAGATTGATGAGAAATATGCCAAAATATCAAGAATGAACTCAGGGAGGTGGGATTATTAAACATTATTCCTCCCTTCTCTTTTCTGTTTTTCTCTTCTCTGTACTTTCTATATTTTCCACGATAAGTGTATGCTAATTTTGCAAGAAGAAAAAAAAAAGTTTGAAAATACATTACCGTCATGAAATATTCATATAACTGTATCCTTACTAAGTATTGAAAATACAAAATTTGCCTCAGTATTCATTAGATTCTTGCCTCTTTATACATTCCAGTCAAAATTTCACTAGACTATCTTAGATTTATAGTATTTATTCAAAATGTACCCCAAAGGATCATTTTCTCTGTTAAACATTTTATGAATTCCTATTCAAAAAGAATACACAAAGTACAATAATCTTTTCATTTGATTGGTGAGATGAGACTGGTGATAATTTGGGGGATTAGCCAGCTTTTCCTCCCTCTTCGCATGCATTATGCATTACCCAAGAAATTGCCTAGAAACAAGGAATTGTCTTTTCTAAGTGTATGGTTTAAACATTGCTTGAACTAAGTATTTGGGTTTCTGGAGTTTAAGTATTGTGTTTAATCTCATGTAAAAATGATAAGCAATTTTAATAGCAGAAGTTTTCACTCAGATCCCATACAATTTTTTGTGGGTTTTTTGGGCATATTTCGTGGACCTAGTCATTCAAAGCCGGGCTTAGGAGGCAAGGCACTCACACATTTGACAGACGTTAGCTGGGGGAAAACCAAATGTTGGTTCTTGGTGGTATCCAGTTACCTTTAATTTCTTCCATTCTATATTGTGGAATTGCCAGGGAATACCAACCCAACTGAAACAGGAATTCACTGGGACCAGCCCTGCTTTGTGTGTACTCACTTTCCTACCCCACTGAGTAGATAACTATGATAAATAAAGACCCAAACATTTGCTGAACTGTATGAAGGATGGAACAAGGTTGCTCTGAACATCACCATCTCTGATTATCTCATTTCTGGGCAGGACTGGACAGGCAGGATAGCCAGTGTGGGGAAGGATGAAGGGAGGACTGAAAAGATATCCTTCTCAGTTGCTTTATTTCTTCTGCTCTCTCCTTTCTGAAAAAGCACTGAAATTGTTTTCTAGTGACTTTATAATGCTGATACTTATTTTCTTTCTTCGTAGTCCAAATCAGAGTGAGACAATTTTTTAAATGGGCTAATAAATATTTTATGCTGATTCTCTAGGGTATAATAAAAGCATAATTTAACCTATGTAACAAAATCTTCAGAACAAAACAACAACCTGGAATAATTTACCTTAAAGATTTTTGTCAGGGTTAAGTAAGTGTGTATATATCAAGTTCTTTGAACAGTGCTGGCATGCATAATTACTAGGACAACACTGGTTGTTATCACTGACTATGCTTGAGTTAGGAATTCTCTATCCCTTGTCTTCAATACACTTAGTGTACCATTTAATTGGTAGTCAATCAGGCAATTTTCTTATCAGACTTCATGCCTTATTATTTAATGGCTCAGTTATTTTGCTTTTCATGTATTTATGTCTATTCCTTTAAGTAGATTTTAAGGTCTGTAAGAAAGAAATCTACTTTTCTACTACCATTATCTATTACTGATTTTGTATACAGTAACAAGAGTACCAACCCCTTGGGTTGTTGATTGGGTTAAAAAAGATGATAATATAAATGCTTTTGTCAGTGCCTAGCATATAGTGCTCAGTAAAGTTTAACTGGTAATAATATACATATATTTCCTGATTATTTAATAAAGACATGAACTGTGCTCCTGATTGAATTTTTATTAATTTAAACACACCAATGGTTGTACATATTTGCTTTATAAAATGATAGTATGTTTTGTCAACCAGCCTCAATATATTGCTTCCACCAGTACGTATATTTTATATTAGAATTGCTCACTCTGAATGAAGCACTCTTGCTTATTTAAGAAAAAAATCAAATGAATGATAACTATTAGAAACAAAACCCTGAATAACATGGAGAAACATATTGCTCCTCAACTATTATAATTTTAATTACATTTGCTTCTTTTAATCTCCTAAAATTCATTTTCATTATTTTAACTTGATTATTTAGACAATCCTATCTCATGAGATTTTCATTTGAACAAAGTAAATAAGGTAAAATTCATTCAACAGTGTAATAAAACATTTACAGTTTTGAGGGTAAAGAACTTATTAAATTGAGAATAACAATTCTTATTAATATTAGCTATTCTTATAAATATTAGTAACAATTAAAAATAATAAATGTAGTTCCAAGTTTAAAGTCATAGAATTGTGTAGGGAAATTGATTTCTATTACAGTGGGTAATTGTAGTATATGTGCTAAATGAACCAGGTTAAAAAATTGAAATTTAGTCAATCCAGTAACTGGATTTCATATTTGATAATCAACTCATGTAATCCATCACAACAATAGGCAAAAAATAAAAAATCACATGATACAGGATCAGTGGATATAGCAAAAGCATTTGACAAACACCAACACCCATTTGTGACAAAAACTCAGTAAATTAGGAATAGAGGGGAACTTGCCCAACATCATAAAGAGTAACCACAAAATACCTACAGTTAACTCATACCTAATGGTGAAAAACTAGAAACATTCCTGCTAAGATCAGAAACAAGGCAAGGATGTCCACTCTCACAACTGCTTTTGAACATTGCCCTGGAAGTTTTAGCTAATACCATCAGACAAATAATGGAGATAGAAGGTATACAGATTGGGAAGGAAGAGATAAAACTGTCTATGTTCACTGAAGACATGACCATCTATGTAGAAAATCTGAAAGAATTGACCAAAAAAACCTCCTGGAATTAATAAGTAACTATACAAAGGTTGTAGGACACAAGGTTAATGTACAAAAGTCAACTGCTCTTCTATATACTAGCAATGAGCAAGAGAAATTTTCCATTAAAAACATATTACTATTTATATTATCACCCCCCAAAATAAAATACTTGGATATCAATCTAAGAAAATATGTACAAGATCTATATGAGAAAAGCTATAAAACTCTAATGAAAGACATCAAAGGAGAACTAAATAAATGGAGAGATATTCCATATAAATATATAGGAAGACCCAATATTGTCAAAAGGTCAATTCTTCCCAACTTGATCTATAGATTCAATGCAATCCCAAATCAGAATCCCAGCAAGTTATTTTGTGGATACTGACAAACTGGTTCTGAAGTCTATATGTAAAGGCAAATGACTCAGAATAGCCAACATAATATTGAAGAAGAACAAAGTTGTAGGACTGACACCACCTGATTTTAAGACTTATAAAGCTACAGTAATCAAGACAATGTGGTACTGATGAAAGAAGAGACAAATAGATCAATGGAACAAAATAGAATGCCCAGAAATAGACCCACATGAATATAATTAATTGATTTTTGACAAAAGAACAAAGATAACACTATAGAGCAAATTAAAGTTTTCAACAAATGGTACAGGAACAACTGGACATTCACATGCCAAAAAAAAAAAAAAGTGAATCTAGACACAGACCTTATACCCTTCATAGAAATTAACTCAAATTGGATTATAGACCTAAATGTAAAATGCAAAACTAAAAAACTCCTAGAAGATAATATAGGAGAAAACCTAGATGACCTTGGATATGGCAATGACTTTTTAAATACAACACCACAAACACAGTCAATGAAATAAATAATTAATAGCTTGGATTTTATTAAAATTAAAAACTTCTGCTCTGCAAAAGACGATGTCAAGAGAATGAGAAGACAAGCCAAAAACTGGGAGAAAATATTTGCAAAAGATACATCTGATGAAGGACTGTTGTTTAAAATAAACAAAGAACTCTTAAAATTCAATAATAAGAAAATGAACAACTTGAGTCAAAAATGGGCAAACCGCCAGAACATACACCTCACCAACAAAGGCACACCAGTGTCAAGTATGCCTGCAAAAAGATGTTCAACATCATATGTTATTAGGATACTGCAAGTGAAAACAATGAGACACCACTACACACTATTAGAATGGCCCCAAATCAGAACAGTGACAACACCAAATGCTGGTAAGGAAGTGAAGCAACAGGAACTCTCATACATTGCTGGTAGGAATACAGAATGGTCCAGCCACTTTGGAAGACAGTTTCTTGGAAGGTAGTTTCTTACAAAACTAAACATACTCTTACTACATGATCCAGTAATCATGTTTCTTGGTATCTACCCAAATGAACTGGCAACTTATGCCCACACAAAGCCCTGCACAAAGATGTTTGTAGTATCTTTATTTATAATTGCCAATTAAACAATTAAGAAAGATGCCCTTTAGTAAGTGAATGGATAAATAAACTGTGGTACTTCCAGATAATGAAATATTATACAACTCCAAAAAGAAATGAGCTATTAAGCCATGAAAAGACATGGAGAGAAGTTGAATGCATGTTACTAAGGAAAGAAGCCAATCTGAAAGGCTACACACTGTATGATTCCAGGTACATGACATTCTGGAAAGGGCAAAACAATGGAGACAATAAAAATATCAGTGGTTGCCAGTGGTTGGGGGGGCGGGGCAGGGATGAACAGGCAGCGCACAGAGGATTTTTAGGACAGTGAGACTGTGCTGTATGATACTACAATGGTAGATGCATATCATTATACATTTGTTTAAACCCATAAAATGTGCAACACGAAGAGTGAACCCTAACGTAAACAATGGACTTTGGGAAATAAAGATGTGTCTGTCAATGTAGGTTCATTGAATCTAACAAATGTTCCATTGTGGTGTGGAACAGGATGTGTTAATAGCGGAAGAGGATGTGTGTAGGGGGGGAACATTATATATATATATGAATATTCTCTCTCTCTATATAGAATATTACTCAGCCATAGAAAAGAATGAGATCTTGCCATTTGCAACAACACGAATGGGTCTACAGGGTATAATGTTCAATAATGTTTTTCAATAATGTTTTTAAAAATAATTTTAAAAATATCACAGTCTCTTCAATCAGGCTGTCCATTGTCAGTTATTGTCAATCCCAATAACACTTTCCCTGTGACTCGATTTCTTCATCTCGGAAATGGGGATAGTAAGAGTACCTATCTCAGAGTTTTCAAGAGAAGTAAATGAGATTTAAATTGCTTGAGTGTCTTGTAATACATTTCAGTTCAATAAATCTTAGCTATTATTTCTTTTACAAATTATAAGTATGTTTACCCACAACATCTTACTGAATTACCCAGCTTCCCTGCAAGATTGGAATGGCTGTCCTCACCTCACTCTACTGATGAAGAAACTACAGTTTGGAGGGACTCAATTTTTGCCCCAGATCTCACAGTCAGTAAGTCACAGTGAGAAGACTCTAACACTGACTTTTCTCCTCCGAATCCTGTTCACAGTGCTTTCTACCACCTTTTTCATCAGCTTTCCAATCCTCATGGTATTCTAGTTTCTTCATTGCTTTGAGTCTGACTTTCTTCTGCAGATCCCTAGCACAACCCAGACGAGAGGTTGTGGAAGAGACAGTGAACCCATGGAAGAGCCTGGACACCTATTCCTATACCAAATATCACCCAATGGAAGAGGTGAGCAAGGACACATGGAGTTTGGTGGTGGCCACGCCTACTTTAGGATGGGCGAGGGTTGGTTCACTGTTAATATGCATAGGCTAGAGTGTCTCAAAATATGAGGCAGAGATTTGCCCGTGCACCGAGTTCAAGGGATTGCAGAAAATCATTTTTTGATCACCACCATCAAAGCTATAAATCCTATCATATTAAATAAAAAGGCAAATCAACAGGGAAAAGAATCCTCTAGCCAGTTTTACTCCTGTGAACATGGACTAAAGTTAACCCTTGTTCTTGTTTGTCAGGTGGTTAGCCAGTTTATTATTTTTTTAAAGACTTCATTTATTTATTTGACAGAGAGAGATACAGTAAGAGAGGGAACACAAGCAGGGGGAGTTGGAGAAGGAGAAGCAGGCTTCCCGCGGAGCAGAGAGCCCGATGTGGGCCTCGACCCAGGACCCTGGGATCATGACCTGAGCCGAAGGTAGATGCTTAACAACTGAGCCACGCAGGTGCCCCTGGTTAGCCAGTTTAAACAGGGCAAGGACAATGTGTATATGGCTGTGGGACATGCAGTGGAGAAGCCTTGTGATCCAATCACATTTAGCTGAAAATGTGGCATTTCTTGTCGGATGTGAAGGATGCAGGCAGTAGTTCTTAAGAGGGGAAAATTTCTTTTAAAGAAATACTTGTATCACTACTAAGATGAGTTTGGTTATTTTTGAAACTGGATACAGTAAAAAATTAGCTACTATATATGCATATTTGTGAGGTATGTGTGTGTGACTTTATGCAAAGCTTTTTTTGAGGTATAAATTTCTAAACATAGAGTCTTTGGGTTAAAGGATAAGCATATCTAAATTTTTATATAAATACACAAGTGTCCTTCCAAAAACGTTTTACCATTTATTCTGTCAGCATTTGGGAGTATATTAATATTTTCCAGAATTTTTTTTAAAGAATGCAAGAATGAGTTTATACATTCTTTTATAACAATCACCCCCAAGTACTAAAGATTCTAAAAATTTGAACAAGGTCCAGGAAGGCCCATAGAAAGCTTATGCTCTGGTATAGGAGAGAGATCACACCTGGCTTGACCACTTGCTCTGTGACCTTGACCAAGACACTTAACCTCTTTGGTCTTTGGTTTCCTCACCTGTGAAACAGGAAATCAGTCCTGATCTTGCAGCTTTTCTGTGAGAGTAAATGGAATACACTACACTACTTCTGATTAAACAATAGATAAATAATTGCTGCTGTTGAGCTCTTCTTTGTAGCCTTCCCAGGGCTCATGACACCTTCATCTGACCCAGCCCATCAAGAAGCACGCACAATACCCATGTGAGAAGTTGTCGTTCTCTTCATTTGACAGAACTGAATTGAAAATACTCCACTGACATATCATTACTGTTATAATAATGCACTTTATCTGTTAAAAAGAATGTCAATTGAGATGCTAAGATTTTCAAATAAAATATTTATTATCCCAAATTAATTATGGTTATTTACCATAACTCTTATTGTAGAGATATTTCAACTATACAGAAACCGAGTGTGGGACTACCCTGTCATGTGTTGATGGCTATCTTAATATAGCTTATGTTTATGAATTCCCTCAGTCCATTCACCATTACAGAACCCCACATTATTGACTTACAGGTGAAGGTATAAGAAGACCCTTCCTTTCCAAGCATGGTGTAAGACTTTTAATTAATTCAACATCCATTCAGGTCTCCTCAGATGAATCAAAATGTTACTTTGGGATTGATTTAGAAACTTTTATTGGCATGTTCTGTGAAGGGCATATCCAACTCTTCTCTAATCTTGGATCCATAGGCATTAGCAAAGGATATTGTTGGGATCCAAAAGGATCCCCCCAAGTCAGCCTGACCTGAAACTGCTGGCATGATTGGGTACCACATGGAAGTCTAGAGGTGTGTGGCCATTTGAAGGATACGATGTTTCTGAAGTGTTATCAGTGGATTATTGAATCTACTAATGCTCAATAACCTATTTGTAAAGTTCAGTAGGTGTTCTAAGATTGGGTGGCAGAGTCGATCTTTACAGAAAATGGGAGGGCGTCAGCATAGTTCATTGGCTTAGTCTTGTAGTTTGTTTAGCTAGAGCGAATAGTCCAGAGTTCAGTATCTTAATGAGAGAAGCAGTTATCTTAATTAGAGGCAAGCAAACGATTTTCTTATTGATATCCACAGTCCTCCCTGGCTGTTTCAGATCTATCAGTGGATGATCCAGATAAGTGAGAAGTACACAGGAGTGGTGACACAGCATTTCCTAGGAATGACCTATGAGATCCGGCCCATGTATTATTTGAAGGTGAGTGAAAAGGCTGGAAATTACTTTAATTACTTAGTTCATTGCCCTCTTACCACTTACTGTGGACATGTTAATTTACAAAGCACATTCCCAAATTTGAGAGTTATCTAGAACTACAAAAAAATCTATTGGCTCTGAAATTGAATTTACCCAGGATCTGAGTGAATGATTGGCTAATATGTTAAGCATGGGCACCTACCTACCTGATTTTGGATAGGCCGTCAAATTCAGAGCTGAATCAGCCAAAAAAGATATCTAGATATCCTCTGCCTGGGGCTCTTTTAAAGAGTAGAATTGGTATATAATAAGGAAGCAATAAAGAAAAATATATAATCAAATACATGTACTCATAAAAAGGGTAATTATAAGAGGGAATGAAGATAAAAGGTGGATTAGGAAATATGCTGGCTGGATTAGGAAAATGGGTGAGGCTCTAGGGAAAAAGCTCCTTGAATATGATGGATCCAGTCTTGTCTTTATCCCAATTTGTAAATTTCTCACTGATAAAGAGGTAGAGCCTTCGTCAGCCCAGCTCCCAGTGGCTTTCAATGAACAGCTCGAGTCTAGGCCATTTACATTCAAAGCAGACGTGACTGTGACAAACTTGGTAGTGTTCACGACCTCTTCTCCATCAAAGAGAATCCACACTTGCCAGGTTAATTCCTACCTGGCCCACCCCTCTGAAAGAGGAGGGGATCTTTCTTGCTGGAGTGAGGCTAGACTGAGGCACAAGAATGGCACAGGGAGAAATGAAAGAAGACTGGGTTGACCAGAAGTGGATAGTGGTGGGTGTCTCTCCCATCATCCCTGCCTCATGCTTGGAATCACAGAGTGGAGGAAGAAAGGGACCTGTAGGGGAATAAAAAACCTGGTAACTTTGCACAGCAGCTTATGATTATAAGCAATTGTTTGGTAATAGAGTACGGATGTCCCCTCCAGATCAGCCAACCATCCAATAACCCCAAGAAGATCATCTGGATGGACTGTGGAATTCATGCCAGGGAATGGATTGCCCCAGCTTTTTGCCAATGGTTTGTGAAAGAAGTAGGTGTTTTTAGCTTTTTTATAATGGTTAATTGTCCAACAAAATACCTGTCACATCTTAGCTGTTTAGAAAGCTTCCTTCTTTCTCAGGTAGGCAATGCAGCTCTCTACTGAGTTACTCCTTCACCCCAAGGGAAATGGAATTTATAAGTAGCTTCACTGAAAACTGAGTTAGGTATTATGATCTCCACAATAATTTGTACTGGAAGGTAAACCACATATCTAAGTGAAGAAGACAATACATCGCGGAAGTTGGAGATGAGTAAAGCCTGGTGCTGCCTTTTTCAGAGAGTCTTGAGCAAATTTTCTAACACCAGGACCCCTCGTTTTTCACCTGCAGAAGGAGCTTGGAATGGCCTCTTTAGGGGATCTATAGTGCAGATGAAGAGATTTAGCATGTGGAAAATACCTAGCTCAGTGAATTGTTATGTATTAGCTATACCCTATAAGATAATCTTTGTGTCAGAAACCACAACAGAAAGAAGCCCACAAGGAGCAGTTCTCCAAGTGTGGTTCCTAGACCAATAGCATCAACATAACTGGGAACTTGTGAGAAATGCAAATTCTGGGGCTTCACCTCACCACCTTTGACCTAGTGAATTAAGGGAAGGGGGTGGGGTGGGGGAGGAGAGCCAGGCAGTTGTATTTTAACGAGCCCTCCAGGTGATTCTGATGGAAAATAAATCTTGAGAATCACTACCATAACAAATAGGACAACTGAGGCAGGGTTGGAGGGCAGGAGAGTAGAGGTTCCATTTGCAATCACCTCTTACAATTATGTTGAAATTGTTAGGAAATTGAAAAAAGACCTCTTCCTGGGAGCATTTCAAATGTTTCTCTCTTAAATTTTCAGATTCTACAAAACTATAAAGATAACCCAAGGATAGGAAGGTTCCTTAGAAACCTGGACTTCTACGTGCTTCCTGTTCTTAACATAGATGGTTATATCTATACTTGGACAACTGTGAGTACATCGAGTAAGGTTCTGGGATGAATCCATGAACTAGATCTTGACTCAGGTTCATTTTTCTGACCGTAGTCATTGTAGTGACAGAAATGTTTTGGGGCCATGTAGAGAAAAAAACCCCATTTGGGATAAAAATCAACTCAGTATTGTTAAGCCAACAATCTACATCAAGTTTAGGATGGAGAAAGTGGGGGCCTTGTTAGAGTTGAAATCCAGCACGTGTTTTTATGTTTGTTTGTTTGTTTGTTTTTGACATATTCCCAGATTTAACTTTTCTCCAAGTCCACCTCCTTCAAGTTTGTGGACTGCCTCTCTGATTGGTATAAAATTCATATACTACCTTGTAACCACCCAGTTTTGAAGTGTGAGGGGCACAAATGATGTATAAATTCTAACCCAACTTTCATTTTCCACTGTGATCATTCACACAGGGGGCAAACATCTCATAAAGTTTTTAGTTAATGGAAAACTTCCTCTTGGGGCAACTGGGTGGCTCAGTGGGTTAAGCATCTGCCTTCAGCCCAGGTCATGATCCCAGAGTCCTGGGATCGAGTCCCGCACATCAGGCTCCCTGCTCAGCGGGTCGCCTGTTTCTCCCTCTCCCTCTGTACCTCCCCCACTCTTGTTCGCGTGCTCTCTCTCTCAAATAAATAAACAAACAAAAAAAATCTTAAAGAAAAAAAAGAAAACTTCCTCTTTAAAATGTTTTGAAAGTGGATCACTCCACAAACAAGAACCCGTTTCTAGAGAATATCCATTCCTCCCTTTTCCCCTTTACTCTCCCAAAAGCGGTTCCTGGGACCCTTTTTCCTGCAGCAGCCTTTCAGCCTGGGTATAAATCAAATTCTTCCCTCCAAGCTTGTCTGGAGAAACTTGTCTTTATGCTCATCTCCACTCATCAGTCTTCTGCTTCCAGAAATGTGCAGAGACCATCACTGATACACCTGGAACAGCCTTTTTCCATCTGCCAAGCTATTTACCTTTCATCCTGTATCACTCGGACATAAAAAATGACTCTCTGAAGCTTTCCCTGATTAAGCAGATCACGTCCACCAGGCACTGCTAATCTGCTCATGAGGAAAAAGCCATACTCCCTCCAATTTGATAGTGTACATGTAGGTACGCTTGGATTGGACAGATGTTCCTGTTATTGGGTGTTGCTGGCCCATCTGTGAGACTAAAAATTATAGGCACAAGCTTTGTTATATTAAAGGAAATTTTCCCAGACAATCCTAGGGACTATTTTTTATGTTCCAGGGCCACCCACTCATCCCCAACACTGTGATTTATGAGACCCTAGAACAGCAGCTTTTCTATGTTCCTCTGTTACAGGATCGGCTTTGGAGGAAATCCCGTTCGTCCCATAATAATGGCACATGTTTTGGGACAGATCTCAATCGAAATTTCAATGTGGCCTGGTGTAGTAAGTACACGTTTAGTTGATGACTTGATGAGCAAAGAATGGAAAAGAGAAGCTAGGATGGAGGTGAATTACTAGAGATAAAACTTTCAAAAATAAGCATCTAATTTTGCACAGCTCTCTGGACTTCTTGACCAGTGTTTTCACCCTAAGGGATGACATTATCTATGCAGGAAGAACCAGCAACACTCAAGTGCAGGACTCTTTTCAAGTGGGATTGGCTAAATGAGGGCAAAGAAGACCTAAATCAAAGTGAATATGTTTGAAATCTATCACTTTATTTTTAAATATATGAATTTTCATAAAATGAAAAAAATCAGAGAATTATCCTTGCAGATTATTTTTATAGTGGGAAGGCAGAAGTAAATAAGGCAAACATTTCCTTCTCCTTAAGGCATGTTCATGTTTCTGAATCTCAACATGCCCAGTGAATCAGAAGCAAATAAAGAGGTAGAAATGGTTAAGAGCAATCTGGTTAAAAACCAGATGGCAAGGGTTAAAATTCAGACTCGGCGGCTGTGTGGTCTTGGAAAAATCGCTTCATCTTTCTGCTTTAGGTTTCTCTTATTTAAAATGTGGGCCGTAGTCCTACCATCCAATCAGTAGGTAGTTGTGGGGATTTGATGAGTTGCCACAGAGGAGGGGCTAACCACCATGTCCAGTGGGTACAAGGTGCTCAGCTGCTGGTCCTTATTATCATCACTGAGGAGAACAGACTACTGTGTCCTTGCAAAATAGCTCTACTGAGATGGAAGCCAGTAAGACAGTGAGAGAGACTTAGCCTGACCTAGGAACCCAAGAACTTGTTCCCAAACATCTATTTCAGGGCCCACCACAGGTTTAAGTAAAACATGACTGAAAATGCCATTTTGTTTTGCGTCTTCCTTTGTGGGCCATGGAAGCATGGAGGTTGTCTCTAAATCTGAATGTCAGCCCTCCTGCCTTTCTGAGTTCCTCCTTGAATGACTACCCTTGCTCACTAATTTAACCTGAACTAAGCCAGGGCAAGCCCCAATTCCACCCACAGGTTGCCCTGAGCAAGGGTGACTCCTTGCCCTCAGTCCATTCTAAACTGGTATCATGTTGACTTCTTCGTGGTTTTCTGTATGTTCCAGGTATTGGTGCCTCTAAAGACTGCCACGATTTAACATTCTGTGGGACAGGACCAGCATCGGAGCCAGAGACTAAGGCTGTTTCCAGCTTTGTAGAGAGCAAGAAGGAGAGCATTGTGTGCTTCCTGACCATGCACTCGTATGGGCAGCTCATTCTCACGCCTTATGGCTACACTAAAAATAAGTCCAGTAACCATGAGGAACTGGTAAGACCATAGCACCAGAGCCTTTACAAAAGCCCCCGTGGGACCCTGGCTTTCCTTTCTCTAGTTTCCATTTTCAAGATTTTGGCTCCAGCCCTGCTTTTGTTCTCTCTGCTCTTCCTTATTTTCTTTCTTGTGCTTTTTACACCTTGCCAGACGCCTGCTGGGAAGGCTTCAGGTTAAATGCTGCTTTACCTACATTAATTAACTACCTGTTTCGTAAAGTGTCAAGTTGGGAGACATCTTAGGTATTCGTCTATAATATAAATGAGACGATTATGTTAATAATCTGCAGGAATGTGCTTTCATTTCTGTAAATTCTCTTGAAGCTCCGTTCAGCAATTATAGCTTTTGAACCGTGCTTTAAAGAACTTGCCAGCAGTTAGTGGAATATGGCATATCTAAAATAACATGGCTAAATAATATCTGCTCTCTTCTCTGCTAAACGCAAGGCTTTATTTTCTTCTATACTCTGCTTCTAGTATTTGCTTAGGGATATGTGTAAGGAGAAGTGCCAGTGAAGTCCAAGCCGGTGCAGGGAAGGTGCCCTTTACTACATCCGGGTCCTCTGAAGCTGTGCTTACTCAAGCACCAGGCACAACTGCTGAATAGGACCGGTCTTTTTGCCCTTTCATGCACCTGAGGACAGCGGACACAAATCAAAGGGAGGGCACATTTAGAATTGTTGTAATATTTGTTATCTTAAAAAAACATTATTTTTTTCTACGTTTAGTCATGGCAAAATTCGCAAAACCTAAAATTTACCATCTTCACCATTTTTAAGTGGACAGTTCAGTAGTGTTACATATGTTCACATTATTGTGCAACTGATCAAAACTCTTTCGTCTTGCGCAGTGGACACTCTGTACCCATTAAAAACAACTCCTGGTCCCCGTTGCTTCTGTAGACCACCCTTCTACTTTCATTTTCTGTGAGTTTGACTGCTCTGGATGCCTCGTACAAGTGGAATCATACAGTATCTTTTTGTGACCAGCTTATTTCATTTAGCATAATGTACTCAAGGTTTATCTATGTTGTATCATATGTCAGAATTTCCTTCCTTTTTATGGCTTAATAATATACCATCATATGTATGTATCACATTTTCTTTATCCATTCATCTGTCAGTACGTATTTGAATTGTGTCCACCTTTGGGCTACTGCAGATAATGCTTCTAAGAACATAGGTATACAAAGATCTCTTTGAGATCCCACTTCCAACTTTGGGGGTATATAACCAGAAGTAGAATTGAAGAATCATATGACAGTTCTGTTTTTAATTTTTGGAGGAACAATCATACTGTTTTCCAAAGTGGCTGCTCCATTTTCTATTCCGACTAACAGTGCACAGGGTTCCAATTTCCCCCACGTGCTCATCAACACTTGTTAGTCTCTGCTCATCTTTTTTATTTTTTAGAACAAACCCCTCATTATCAATAAATGCTGGGATGGATGGAGGCTAAGCTCACTCTGGTCTTGAGGTCACAGAGGCTTGGGAACCCAATGGTTCTCTCACCTGTCCTGTCCCTCTCCCACTGGAGCATGACCCGGAGAACACATGTCTGGGCATAAAAAGAAAAACAATTACTGATCTTTGCTGGAGGAAGCCCTTCTCCCAACAACCAAGAATATCCAGTAGTACTTCAATAGCTTTCTCACAGTGTTTTTGGACATTTGTACTATGTGATCATTTTGCAAGATGTGACAATAACTAACATTTGCTTAGCACTTTGCAATTTACAAAGGGATTTTAGGACCATTATCTCATCTGACCAGATGACAATATAATAAGCTCCCTTTGAAGCTGTGGATATTGAGACCTTGAGTTAACAATAGACAGTGATTGGTAGAGCCCAGGTTAGAACTCATGTCTTCAGACTCCAGAGGCTACATTCATTCAGCCTCCTCATACTGCCTCTCTGCTCGGAAAGGGCATGCGACTTCTAGGAGCTCCTTTTAACTTTGATGACCAGATCACTTTGTCCTATTTCCTCCTATTCCTGAGCTCTAGAAATTTCATTTCTTCAGTAAAGGAAACTGCAGAAACAGAGATTTCAGCTGAGAAGCCCAGAACTTGTTTTATCTCCCAGTTCCTGTGGTATTTGTTGTAGATGTCTACTTTCTGCTCAAAGGGATCTGTGACAAACACGAATGAACCACCAAAGGCAGGCCACTATAGATCTTTAATGGACCAGGCCTTCCACCAGCAGAAAAAAGCAGACTGTAACCCCTGGTATTTTTTTTTTTTAGGGAATTCTGTTCCCTTCTTGGCTCAGGAAAACAGATACTATATGACCATTTTGCAAAGTTTGTATTCAAAGGTGAGAGGGTCTTGTGCTGTTGGTTCTCTGGTTAGAGCCCTCTGGCCACAGACTAGAGGAGGCAAAATGGCAGGAGAGACCTATGGCACTGACGTCACCACGGCTGGAAGGTTAGGGTTAGGTGGGAATTACCGAGAACCCTTTAGTACCATATGCAGAAGTGGGCACATCGAATTGAGAAAGGGCACTTCCATTCTGTATCTCTTACAGCCTCAGGTGCTAAAAAGTTAGCATAAACATTCATCCCCAAGACCTGTCAATAAAAAGACAGTGTGAAAATTTTGCCACCTGTGTCAACCTCATTGAAGCTAGCTAGCAGTTGTTTTAGGTTCTTATGAGTAAGCTTTGATAGAGTGCACAAAGACACAGAATCAAGCCAACTGTTGAAGGAGATCTCCATTTTTGGTACTATTTACAACTACCAGAGACTAGTAATTAATCTCTATATATTTACAAAACCAAAAATTTGTAGAAATCATGATAAATATTATACTGCATGATAGACAACTTGGCAATCACTATGTAGGGGAAACATAACTATATATAGCCCTGTTCTAAATTGCTCTGGAAATTAGAATAGCTATAAAAATTCTAATGTTTTAAATGCTGACATTCTTTCCACTTGAACTCTTCCCATATCAACTTCTAGCTCCTATCCCAAGCTCTTTCCTCCCACACACATGCCAGGGCCTCCATCAACCTTTTTTGTGTGCCTCCCTGTGAATATATGCCTGTAGGAAACTCTCTGGGAGTTATTAAGGAGGCTTGAGGTCTTTAGAAATGTAAATCATGTACTACTGGCAAGAGGATTTTTACTGTTTTGACTAACGTTCCTTTGGGCTGAGAAGAAGGTCAGCAGAGAAATTGGCTCCCTATGGCCATGTGGTATATTGTCAAAAGGAGAGGGAAGAATAATCAGGAGGTCCACCCTTAAGGATAGAAGTCAGAGTCTTTGGATTTTATTTCATCTTCTGGGAAAGAACCAAGTCTACAACCTAGGGTCACAACTGTATACTTCTCATATACCTTATACTTCCTACTCCTATCAACTTCCCCATAGTAAGAAGAAGAAAGCAGGAAGACTGTTCCCACCCCACAGGATGTGAGGGAAAGGAATTACATAGGATAAAATAAGTAAAGGCTGGCAATCAGAAAAAAGAAATGGTTGTCTGGGGTGAACAGACAAGAAAAAAATGCAAGAGTCATTTGGAAGGAAAATGTAGCCTGGAGCTGATGCATATAACCCAAATAAAAGTTAAGGTCCCACGTGGACCAGTTAGCATGGAGTTTCATTCAGAGAAATGCAGAAACATATGGGAATTAAAAATAATTAAAGGCAATTCATGTCTCTACCAGACTTTGAAAGAACTTCAAAAGGGAGTGTAGCTGGTAAATCATAGCAACTCTTTCCCCCTCCCCGCCTCATGCTCTTCATTTCACTCACAGATAACAACTACCCTGATCCTTTCTCTGCACCCTTCATTTTTATTTCGTTAGCAGAATTTATCTCTCCAGAAATCTTCTTTCTGACTCTCTTCTCCTTCTTATTTTCTCTTCTATCTACAAAAACAGCTCTTGTACCTCTTTGCAGTGTAAATTATTCAAACCAGCTTTATTTCATGCACTTCTCAAGCCCTTCTTACCAATCATGTCATTCTGGACAATGAGCCCAGGACCTAAGCCAGACTTAGAATCCTTTTTTTAGGAAGAGAGAGAAGGTGACTGGCCCAAGACAGAATTCTCAGTAGTGAGTAAAGAGGAGGCAAAGCTCTTGAACATATGTTCAGTTGAATGTTTTTTCTTTTATCTTTGCCATACACAGAAAGTCCCAAGTGCCCTAAGAATGCTGCTCACAGCTGCTGTATATGACCTACCACCACTTACTCCCTTTTCTACTCTTCCTTTTGAACTTCACCATGCCTATCCCTACTCTGCCCACGCACCGCTCTGTCATACCCCAGGATTCAGCTGGACAGTGAAGGACAATGCAGGACCAAGAAGGTTTAAAGTTAGACTCATCACTAGTCAGAAGTCAGAGGAGCTGATGCACCTGCAAAAGCAGTCAGGCTGCCCTAAGGGGTAAAGAAAGCAAAGGTGGATCACAGTCCAGGCAGGGAGTGGTCAAGGGGATTTTGGTGGTGTTTGTGTAAAATCTAAGGGGAGGTATTAGGGAGTCTGGGGTGGGGAAAACTTAGAGAAGACTATTGAAAGACTGTTGAAAGGGTATGTGAAGAAATTTATCAGAAGGTTAATAGACATAGCCAATACACTTGGATCTCTCAGTGTTAGTGGCTCTGATCTCAGGAAAAGGTTTGCAGAGAGCAAGGCTGAGACATTAGAAATCATTCAGTTCTGAGAGATTTCCAGTGCAGTCAGGTGACATGGTGGTAGGTGTGGGGAGGGGTGTAGCCTCTAGCTCTGAAATCCTATAAGCCTATAAGAGATAAGTATCAAATACCTATAAGGAAAAATAAGAAGGGAATTATAAGAGAAGTATGAACAAAGGGCCACGTGGTGGGGGGGAAGTGGGGAGAGAGAGGATTTAGTTGGGGTGATGAGGAAAGGTCCCATGGAAGAGTCAGCATTTGAAAAAGTCTTTTGAGGTTGGGTAGAATTTCAACAGGCAGAGAAAAGAGGTAAGGCATGCCAGGTGGACTGAATATCCAGATAAAAGGTAGAGAGTCTGAAGAAATGGGCATGTCTGGGGAACAGTGGGAAAACTTGAGAGTGACTATCATCTAGGGTAGGATGTAAAGAATATGGTGTGGGAAAGGTGGGCTAGGGCCACATCGTAAAGGATCTCAAATGTGAAACTGAGAAGCTTGTGATTAATTCAGTGGGCAATTAAGAATAAGGCTTTTCGGCAGGATCATGATCATAGTTCTATTCTATTGAAGTTCACCTGGAATCCAGAAGAGATCGACTGGGATAAGGATTGGTGAGAGGAAGAGAAACTTACTAAAAGATGACAATAGTCCATTTCAGAGGTAATGAGACTAAAATAGGGTGATGGTGCTGGAAATGCAACTTGGTAACATTTGAAAGAAGGAGAGTCAAAGGTGACTGCAGGATTTTATGTGTGTTTGGGGGAGCAGATAAGTCAGAAATATGGAAACCAGAACAGCTTTATTAGTGGGGGAATGATGAAATTGGGTGTGAGTGTGTTGAGTCTGAAGTACCAGAAGGCTACCTAGGTATAGAGGTCCAATGGGAAGTTAGAAAGATGGTCTGGAACTCTGGAGATGGATTTGGACAAAATACCCAACCCTCTGGATTGTTGGATTTATTTTTAACACCAGATATCTGTCTCTGCATTTCCCACCTACAGATCCAAGTTGGACAGAAGGCAGCAAATGCATTGAAAAAAAAGCATGGAACCAATTATAGAGTTGGATCGAGTGCAGATATTTTATGTAAGTAGCTTTTTTTTGCCTCTTCAATAGTATCTAAGGCACAAAAGAAGCCAGTGGACTTTGGGGAGTGGGGTAGGCAGGAGAGGGACGGAAGAGCTCCCTGGGTTCAACAGGAAGTTGTACAAATCAAAATGACCAAGGATAAAAGGGAGTCTGTACAAATACAGAATTATGCTCTCTAGGGATAAAGTGTGAGCTAAAAGAAAAAAAATTAATACACTGGCTCAGACCAGAACTCCCTCTGGCTTCAGTTAAAAAGAGCCGGCAAGTGAGAAGGTACAGGAGTTAACAGGAAGGACGTTTTCCAGTGACCCTTGGTCAGTTGATTCAGTTCTCAGAGGACCTATCAGTCTGAGAAAGCAAAGCAGGTGGGGCCTCGAGAAAGGATCTTACACAGAAAAGAATTTAGTTAAAAGGACAGTGCGCAGCTTTTCCCCATCCCCAGCCACAACTTCCTCCACCCACCTGAGGACCACCTGGATAATATTTGCATAATATTTTCCTTGTTGCTCATTTTACTTCTGTTCCTTTATATGTCAGTTCACTTGCCTTGTAATAATAGGTTGTCTAGTCTTTGATTCAGCGGAGAAACTTTACCCAAACTTCTGCTATATGCCAAGCATAATGCTAGGTATTCTGGGAGGTGGCGAGGGGAGACAGGCTAAACGAGACGTACTTCCTGCCCCACAGGGTGTCATATTAATGAGAGGGAGAATCCTTAATATGAAAAAGTTCACTAATGTTGCTGCATTGAGCCTTTATTCCCTGAAATAGCCATAGAAACCTGTCCTTTCGCAGTATAATTTCTACCTCTGCCTTCATGCTTTTGTTTGTAGATACCACATCAGGGGCCTCAAGAGACTGGGCTCGGGACATTGGTATTCCCTTCTCATACACGTTTGAGCTGAGGGACAATGGTACACATGGATTTGTTCTGCCAGCCGCGCAGATTCAGGCCACCTGCGAGGAGACCATGGAGGCCGTGCTCTCTGTCCTGGATGATGTCTATGAGAAATACTGGGACTCAGATGGTGCTGGAAAGGGGACACCTACTGCCGTGGTGCTGGGCCTGCTGGTCTCCTTCATGTCTGTTCTCTGAGTCTATCCTACCCAGGTCTGCTCAGCCCCAGGCATGAGAATGTGGCTGCAGGGAAGGTGTTTGCCTGAGGCTAAAGAAGAATCAAAGAATTTAAAGATACTTTCCACTTCAATAAAGAGGGATCATGTTTGCATTCTCAGGTGTGTTTTGCTGGTAATCAGTTATTACTTTAAAAGAGTATACTATTAGTTATTGCTGCAACAATGCCACACCGAGCCACTCCAAAGTTCAGTGACTCATGAATCTGTAGGTCTGCTGGGAAGTTCTGCTGATCTTGGCCATGCACATTTATGCATCTGTGGTCAGTTTCAGCGCAGCTATCCTGGGGCCTAAAGATGTTTTTTCTCATCTACATATTTTGAAAAATTTGCTCATTTTTTTGGAACCAGGTTCACGTTTAATTTTGTATTATTGAATTAGTAGCATCATTCAGAAGATATTACATAATCTTTTTATATAGTCGTTGCTGGCTTTATTTAATATTGTCTTTATTTATTCATTCGTAAATCCTTTTTCAGAATCTGCTAGGTATATTTTGCTAAGCTCTAGGGTTACAGTGGTGAATAAGATAGACATGGCCCCTGTCCTCTTGGAATTTCTATTCCAGTGGGTGAGATTGGGGATGGTAGCTATAAATAATTAGAATGGACACACTGTTGCATACAGGGCAACTCTGGCTCAGGGGAGCCATAATAATCAAGAACACAAATAAATAAACTGAATATTGCAGCTTGTAACAGGTGCTATGAGAGAAATAAAGAGTAAGGAGAGAGGTAAGCAAGGGCCAGATTGTACATATACAAGAATATAGGCATTTAATTGTGCTATCTTGTCTATTAAACTGCAAGTGCTCTTAAGGTAGTGTCTATGACTGTCATTTCCTATGTATCTCTATGTGACACCTTGAAATGGTGCTAAGCACTTGTCAGGCTTTGAACAAATGTTGTAGCTGTAACCAGCTGACACAGCATCCTTGGGTGTTCAGTCACCCATTTCTAAATTTCCTTGTTGGTCACAGTCACAATACACTTCTTGGTTGTAACCCTTTTATTGCCTTTCTTTGTCCTCTTTATTTCTTCCTGTTTTGCCAGTGTGTGGCTGATAAGGGTCAGAAAGAAAAAAAATGTCAGGGGCAATAGGGCTTAATGAATCAGAGAACAGCTATTTACATAAAAATGCCAACTCCACAATTGTGGCATTGTCAGGAGACAATGCTGGGGTCTCATCAGTAGTCAGCCTAGGAGAGAAGAAAACTAGTGTGACCACCAATGCAATATTCAAGAAAAAAATGAGGGAGCTATGCCTTGGAACATGGATTATCAGCTTTCATCTAGCCTGTGTTTTAGTATCTATGACTGTCTTTTAACAACTTGGACCTCTAAGTATTATAGGAACTCTGACCTACAAAGCTTAATTTATGTCTAAAGATTGAGCCTATGGGCAAATAAAATTGGAAGGGAACAGATGGAGATGCAAGCTATTAGCTTGCCTGAAACTTCTTACATGGATTCTTCCAAGAGTCTAGGGCACAATCATAGGTTTCTTGGGGGGTTTCACATGGCTCTGAGGCCAGGGGGTGGATCTGAGATCCAGGACATGTTTTTTTACTTCTTCTGAAAGTTTTTTATTTCCTGTGACAGGATCCTTTTTTTTTAATTTAATTTTATTATGTTATGTTAATCACCATACATTACATCATTAGTTTTTGGTGTAGTGTTCCATGATTCATTGTTTGCATATAACACCCAGTGCTCCATTTAGTTTGTGCCCTCTTTAATACCCATCACCAGGCTAACCCATCCCCCACCCCTCTAGAACCCTCAGTTTGTTTCTCAGAGTCCACAGTCTCTCATGATTTGTCTCCCTCTCCGATTTCCCCCCCTTCATTTTTCCCTTCCTACTATCTTCTCTCTCTTTCTCTTTTTTTTTTTAACAATACAATGTATTATTTGTTTCAGAGGTACAGGTCTGTGATTCAGCAGTCTTACACAATTCACAGCGCTCACCATAGCACATACCCTCCCCAATGTCTATCACCCAGCCACCCCATCCCTCCCACCCCCCACCACTCCAGCAACCCTCAGTTTGTTTCCTCAGATTAAGAATTCCTCATATTGATGAGATCATATGATACATGTGTTTCTCTGACTGACTTATTTCGCTTAGCATAATACCCTCTAGTTCCATCCATGTCATTGCAAATGGCAAGATTTCAGGTTTTTTGATGGCTGCATAATATTCCATTATATATATATGTATCACATCTTCTTTATCCATTCACCTGTCGATGGACATCTTGGCTCTTTCCCTAGTTTGGCTATTGTGGACATTGTTGCTATAAACATTGGGGTGCACGTACCCCTTCAGATCACTACATTTGTATCTTTGGGGTAAATACCCAGTAGTGCAATTGCTGGGTCGTATGATAGCTCTATTTTCAACTTTTTGAGGAATTTCCATACTGTTTTCCAGAGTGGCTGCACCAGCTTGCATTCCCACCAACAGTGTAGGAGGGGTCCCCTTTCTCCGCATCCTCGCCAACATCTGTCGTTTCCTGACTTGTTAATTTTAGCCATTCTGACTGGTGTGAGGTGGTATCTCATTGAGGTTTTGATTTGGATTTCCCTGATGCCAAGTGATGTTGAGCACTTTTTCATGTGTCTGTTGGCCATTTGGATGTCTTCTTTGGAAAAATGTCTGTTCATGTCTTCTGCCCATTTCTTGATTGGATTCTTTGTTCTTTGGGTGTTGAGTTTGACGAGTTCTTTATAGATTTTGGATACGAGCCCTTTATCTGATATGTCATTTGCAAATATCTTCTCCAATTCTGTCAGTTGTCTTTTGGTTTTGTTGACTGTTCCTTTTGCTGTGCAAAAGCTTTTTATCTTGATTGTTCATTTTTGCCCTTGTTTCCCTTGCCTTTGGCAATGTGTCTAAGAAGAAGTTGCTGCAGCTGAGGTCGAAGAGGTTGCTTCCTGTGTTCTCCTCTAGGATTTTGATGGACTCCCGTCCCACATTTAGGTCTTTCATCCATTTTGAGTTTATTTTTGTGTGTGGTGTAAGGAAATAGTCCAGTTTCATTCTTCTGCATGTGGCTGTCCAATTTTCCCAATGCCATTTGTTGAAGAGACTGTCTTTTTTCCATCGGACATTCTTTTACTGCTTTGTCAAAGATTAGTTGACCATAGAGTTGAGGGTCCCTTTCTGGGCTCTCTACTCTGTTCCACTGATCTATGTGTCTGTTTTTGTGCCAGTACCATACTGTCTTGATGATGACAGCTTTGTAGTAGAGCTTGAAGTCCAGAATTGTGATGCCACCAGCTTTGCTTTTCTTTTTCATCATTCCTCTGGCTATTCGGGATCTTTTCTGGTTCCATACAAATTTTAGGATTATTTGTTCCATTTCCTTGAAAAAAGTGGATGGTATTTTGATAAGAATTGCATTAAATGTGTAGATTGCTCTAGGTAGCATTGACATCTTCACAATATTTGTTCTTCCAATCCATGAGCATGGAACTTTTTTCCATTTCTTTGTGTCTTCCTCAATTTCTTTCATGAGTATTTTATAGTTTTCTGAGTACAGATTCTTTGCCTCCTTGGTTAGATTTATTCCTAGGTATCTTACGGTTTTGGGTGCAATTGTAAATGGGATTGACTCCTTAACTTCTCTTTCTTCTGTCTTGTTGTTTGTGTATAGAAATGCAACTGATTTCTGTGCATTGATTTTATATCCTGCCACATTGCTGAATTCCTGAATGAGTTCTAGCAGTTTTGGGGTGGAGTCTTTTGGGTTTTCCACATAAAGTATCATATCATCTGCAAAGAGTGAGCGTTTGACTTCTTCTTTGCCGATTCAGATGCCTTTTATTTCTTTTTGTTGCTGTGACAGGATCCTAAGAGTAAAGTTGGAAAGGTGATAAAACACAGATATTTCCTAAGGAAGTTTTAACTTCCTGGTCTTAAATGGCAATAGGTTGGGAAAACTTCACAACTGATGCAATTAATTAAATCTTGAGAGTATCTTGTCCTGTGACTTTGTTGGGTATGGGATTTGATATTACCCTACTTTAAAGCTAAGAAGTTACCTTGTTACTATTTCATGTATGTTGGAAGACATGAGACTCCGGAGTCAGGGACACAGGACAGCATTACTCACAGCACAGTAAGCAGCCTGAGCATCAACATATTTACATTGGTTCCTCTTGCTCTCAAGTTCCAAAAGAGCCCAGGTGACACCTGCTAATGCGGTGAGTTGTGTTATAGGAGAGAAACACCAAGCTTGAGGACTTCACTGCTTTTATAGCAAGCAGTAAGCAAGCCTGCTCTTTATCCCAGTAGGAGACACTTCCTCATTACTCACAGTTGCTTGCTTCAAACACAACTCTGAGAAATGGGCCAGAGCCCCACATCCTTAGCATAGTCAGCAAGATGCTAGGAGCAAGAGAAGCCCATTGATGACTGTCTTCCAACAGGCTTTATGTATTAGGTTGAGTCATGTGAAATTGCTGTTTTCATATGTCAAAAAAATGCAAGTATTGGTGATTTTACATGGTTCAACATAATTTCTCAGTGTTAATAAAGGTGCCTCCATGGTGCCTTTTTAAAAATTTTTTAGAAAGTTTGAATATACTGCATTTTCTGTTACTATTTCTTTCCTTCCACCAAACTCTGTTGGTGTATGTTTTTTTTTCCCCATAAATGTTCCTACAAAGGATCTAAATCTTCTTGACTTATAGGTAAATTTAGAGTTTAAAATGATGCAAAATGATAAATTCAGGTGGTATCCAAGCCTCTAACTCCTATTTTTTCTACATCAGTGTCAAAATGAGTTATATTTTTGTTTCCACTATGTATGACCAAGCTCCTGTTCCCCTTCTTTTTCTTATGCAGTTTAACCATCTTCTGATATGTTACTAAAAATATATTTTTCATATCACCCCAGTATTATTCTTATCTCATACGTATAATTTGAATCTGGCCTACATGTATCATGACACTAA